TAGCTCAGTTTACTGAAATTGGTTTTGTGGAACTAGTTTGGTTCAGTAAATTCAACAGCTTATTTCTTAGAGTGTTTGTAAAAGTACTTCTACTTTCCCGTTTTTTGTGAACAGTTTTATATGACTTTTACTTTACTTTTACTTATCAGCGAAATTATTTTTTTTATCAAAATCATTTTCTGTTAAGGTATTCTTACTTTTATTTAGTTATTTTTTTCAAGTACTTTATAGACTTCTGCTTTTAACTAGCATTGTTACGTTTAGCTTTTAGCTCATGCTCTGCTCCTTTTAGCCACACCAACTCAGTTTCAGCTTCTTTCACAAAGTTAAGCAGTCATTGTGCTATTGTTTCTCAGGTTTCTGTTTGAAATTTGTTWAAAAAAATGTCCAATTTGACAGACAAAAACAGCTTAAACAAACTTCTAGCTTGCATTACAAAATTACATTTCTGTGTTCAACATCTACACCTACCAAAAAAAAAAGAAAAAATCAGGATTTTTTTGTCATTGATTAGACAAAAACATTTTCTCCTGTAACAATTTGCACTGACTCTTTATGAGTTTTAGTTTCAAAAATGGAACATTTAAGGGAGGTGGCAACCCTACTTTAAAKTGATAGGTCAGATGTTGAAATATTGTCACTGGCTAATCTGTTTCCCCTCAATTTTTCATGCGACCATCATTTTCCACCTTCACCCCTCTCAATTCAACCTGACCCCACCTCCCACCATGCCGCTGCTCTGGCTGCAGCCTGCGGGGTGAACTGCCACAAGTCCTGCAGAAGCCGCCTGGCCGTGGAGTGTAGGAAGAGAACAAAGAGCATCAGCCACGAGACGCCGCCCGCCCTCCAGGCCAGGTCCTACAGCTTCCCCCCACCTGCCAACACTCCCCCCAGCCTGCAGAATACAGGTGAGACATTTACACAAGAGATAATTCATTTGAAACTTTTCAACCCAAGCATCAGGTCCTACAAAAGACTAGATTCTTTTGCATGGCAGGTTTAGTCACAAATGTTAGCAGATGCTCCTACAGTGTGGTTGATGAGGGTTTGTGTTCAGACTTCCAGACTAAACTTCTTTAATGTSTGTTGAGAGTGTTCACACCTGTTTTAGTGCCATTTGGAGAGAATCAAATGGCTCAGAACAGATGTGCATGCCAGGTCTGAACAGAGTCCTAAAGCTGGACAAGTTGATCCATCTCATATTTCTCAGTGAAACAAGGCGTTAAAAACACACGACTGTGCTTCCTATGTTGCCCTTGGGTTGCATCCTGGGTGCCTTCCTTTGGAGGTTTTCTGGGCATGTTCACTTGAAGGAGACTCTGTATCAGACCCAGAACTCGCTGCAGAGATTACATAGCCCTCAAGAGGAACTGGAGAGTGTAGCTGCTGGTCAGAAGAATGTCTGGGTATTCTTCCTGGACCAGTTGCCTCTTTGATGAATCATGGATAAGTGTTAGAATATGGATAATTGGATGGATGGATGTCTTACCCCTCCTGAGAGAGAACCCTGGTCTTTCGTCATGCCAACAGCTGTTCACTTACTTGTTTGTAGACTGCCTTTTTCTTCTTGAGGTTCCACAGTCAAACATGTGCAGGATCACCTGGGACGGGATCTCTGACCCAGAGTTAATATGTTCACTGTTGAGGTCTGTTTCCAACAGCTGTGGGCCRACTCACAACAAGAGAAGATACATCTGCTGTATGATTCCATTCTGCCATCAGTGTTTGTGTTCAGGACCAAGGGTCTGTCCTACCCTTCTGACATGGGACCAGCAGTGTCCTCTGTTATCATTCTGATCCCATGTAATCATATCAACACTGCATTGTAAGCATTTCAACAACAGTCTGTAGGACTGCCCTTCAGGCCGGTATTAGACGTCAGCACTCAATCCACTGGAGGGAGCTGCCGGACTGTAGATAGACACTGGAACTGATAAATGGACAAAATCTTTGGTTTGGGAAAGCTCTCATCACCTTGACAAGCTGAACTTTAAGTACACTGGTTGGAGTCTAAACTGGGCACAACCTGCTCATCGCCACCAAAAGGTGATGGGACTCCATGGCAATGGGTCTGTGGCTTGAATTAGAGGCCTCTTCGCACTTCTTAAACCAATGCCTGACTCTGAGCAGTCAAAGGAAAATAATTCTTGGGGACCCCTTTTAGGTCTCTACATAGTACATTCAAAGCCAAAGTGTCAACGTGTGATCACGCGGTTGGTCAGCGTTTGTTTTCGCACACACCTCTTTCATATTTTCACAGACATACTGCACCATGTCTACACTCCAGGAAAAACAAAACAAACAAACAAACAATAAAACTCTGATATGCTGTTATTTGTCCACAAATCTGTCCCAGTTGCTCCACACACTTCTGTGGATGGACTCCTTGCAAAACGTCTTTTATTATATGTCYGGTCATGAGTTTTGTCCGTTTGATGATCTTTATAAATGTCTGCTTCCAGTTACAACAGTCATATTCTGGGAGYGAGTACATGAGCACTTTTAGCGTAAAGAAACACGCCCACGAACTTCAGACTAGTTACACAACACTTCGCACAGCACGTGGTAAGAAACAGTGTGGTCAAGGCCTTGTGTCAAGAAAGGGAGGTTCGAATGACGCAACTAAATGACACAATTTTCGATAYGCAACTGTGACAATGAGAGCTGATTTCAGTAGTTCGGAGGGAGAATGTAGAGGCCTTTATGGATCTGAGTGTTTCTAACCTGTTATCCTTCATCCAAGGGATGTGAAGATTTGATTAAAGCTCAGTGTCTTTTTGGGGAGAGCAATGGGCCCACCTATGAGGCCCCTGCTTACGTATACGGGTTCTTTATCCATCCCTTCACCATAAACCATGATACAGTCACACGTCCCATCCCTTCATCATGTTTCGTTTCATTTCATTTCCACCTGAATTTATTTTAGGAGCATGGACCAATTGAAAAAAATCTATGGTCAATTTTAGAAATCATTATCAGAAACTTTTAAATCGAAGTAAAACTGGAAGCAGCGTTTTTTTATTGCAACCATACCTTTCTATTTTACATCAACCAGGGTAGAATAAAAATGCTACACTTGACAGGATTCTGAAGTATTGTGTACTTTTCATTTGACCAGTCTCCTCTTTGCTTTTGTTTCCATCAGTGATTACTGAAGAAGACTTAGAAACAGTGGAGGAAGGAGTGTTTGACGTTCATCTATAGCCAGGTGAGGAAAACCTTCGCTTCTATTTCATCCTAGCTGCAGGTTTTATCAGCATGTTCTGTATGTACGGTTTTTGTTTTGCATTTGTGTTAGACAATTTAAGGGATGGGAGGCTGAGCCCTCAATCCTCCAAACTAAAGATCTAATTAGGAAATCTGTGCCGTAACGCAACCAGTGGCAACTTATCTGAGTCCATATAAACCTTGATATGATATTCTCTAATTGCAGTAAAAGATTCTGCTGAGCAGATTTAGTTTCCCTGTTTATGCTTTTTTCTGAACTATATGATGGAAATAAATGGATCAATAACCGTGCTGTAATGAGTGTTAACTGCGCTGGAAATAGCTTCAGGTGTTTTCTAACCGTGCCTCGGAAAAAAACATTGACTGAAATCTCAGCTGGAATATAAATCTGAGCTGGAAGTGGTTCAGTCGAAGAGAGCGCTTCTCTTCTGAGGCTGTTTGATTCCAAACAGTCTTTAACTGAAACTATTCAGTGTTTTAAAAGGGAAAAAAGGGGGGCTTTTGAAGATAACAGGAACAGATTTCCTTTTGGAGGAATGAGGTGTCTGCTTTTTGTAACATACCCTTTGGAGAGTTATCTCAAAGCAAGGTTTGGACACCTTTGTTTTTGGATTAACCAACTGAACAGGGAGCATTCAAAGAAACATAGATAAATGAAACTACAGAGGAATCATGTGGTAAATAGAGGTTTTAAAAGTGTAATTTGATACAGTTTTGCTCTGTAAGATCTCCTATGACCTCCTATGATCTGCTGCTGTAGTGTTGTTTCACTTCATAATTAAACAAAGGACAGAAAGGGAACATCAGAACGATTGCCTAAACCAGAGCTGTTYAACTAAATCACTCCAGGGGCCMCAGTTACTGCAGGCCAACAGCTGAGGGGCCGAACATCCAGCAATTAAAATCATTACGTAAATAAACCAAGTATTACAAAGATCTGTTACATTTAAATCAGTTTATTTTGCTGCATTTAATCATGAATACAACATACAGAACCCTATGTAAGTAGTGATAATAAAATTATATCAAAAAAAAAAACATTATGCCTCCCATTTAACACAAATATTATTTAGATATCTCTGACTTGCCAAAATTTTAAATCAATTTTATTTTCACTTTCATAGCTTTATCTTCAACTGCTTGTTTCTTTAACTGTCTTAAGTGCTTTTAGAAATGATTTTTAGCAGCTTCTAGCCAAGATTCTGACGTTTCTGCAGATACCAAACATGTCCATGTCTAATAACTTAGAATAATTAAAGTAGAAAACCGGGGGTTTGGGCTTAAGAGATGAATGAACCCAATTGGTGAGCCAAACTTTGGTCACTCGCGGGTCAGATGTGGCCCGCAGGCCGCCAGTTGAATAGTCCTTGCCAAAACAATAAAACTAGCATGCCATCTGTTAGCCCTCACAGGGTGTCTTGTGGATGAGTCTCAGCTGGTGTCACACTAGATTTAATCCCGTCTGTAAAACTGACCGAGTTCTTGTCAGGATTTGTGCCTGCAAAAATGGCCATCTTGCATCATATTACCTCTAAAAGTTAATTAATTGTAGATTTATGTCCAAYACTTAGTTTTTAAAAGTTTTATTAAAACATGCCCACTGGCTCATCAGATGTTTTGCTTACAAACAGGCACTGCTGACTTCAGTATAACATTTAAAAAATAGATCTCATCCACTCAGTTAGTGCTCAGATTATGTGTTGGGAATGAGTCTCAGCTGCTACCTCATCAATTTTAACATAATGTTTGTAAAATTGATCACATTATAGTCATTTTTATGTTTGCAGATAACTTAGCTGTGGCAGCCTTCTTCAGTTTCAGACAGACAAACACACAAAACCCACCTCTACCATTTTTCACTGTCGTTCTCTCCAACAGCTTTAGCTGTAATATTAACTGTGTCGATTCTTGCAGGAGCAGTTGATGACAGCTGTCCTCCGCTCTCTATCAGAATCTCTCCAACATCTGGTGAWCAAGCAGCCGAACGTGTGAACGTCAGGAGCCTGACGGGGAACTGTGCCACAGTGTGTTAGTCTAAAACCCCCTCAGCAGTGAGGAGAACTTACACTGAACACACAGTTAGGTTGCCCACATGCTGCCACACAGTGGACCCCTCCTGGAACTGCACTCCCCTCTATCCACCACAGGAASGTGACGAGCAGCATTAGTGGAGCAGTCAGTTTTTGAGTCAAACCTGGCCAGAGTGTTAACTGTGTAATATTATTGTTTGTTCAGAAAAAAAAAAATCACTTTTATTTTTTTTCTTTTAGTACAGGGGTCTGCAACATGTGGCTCAGAGCCACTGAAAATTTCATGAAAATTAATATTTTTATGTATACACACAATAGAGAGGAGGAACAAGAAAAGTTTTAGCAATTTTGTTGTCRGAGTAAATGAAAGGATCTGAATTCTTTTTTCTGTAACCATATAAAACTCATACAGAGAGAAAAGTGCATCAATCAGTTTCTGTTAGTAATCTTTTAGGTAGTTCATTTAACTGATTTATTTCTCTGAAATCCACCAGAAAATCAAACACTTTATTATTTGAAGTTAGTTACTGGTGTGTGTATGTATGTGTGTGTTTGTGTGTGTGTGTGTGTGTACTTGTTTCTACTACAGAGTGAGGACCATTTGCACCATAGTTACAATCAAAGTGATGTCAAGAGAGGACCTCTTCAATGTCCTCTCTTTGTTTGCAGCTCTGCAGTGCTTTACTAGTTAGATTTAGAGGTATGGTATAAATTAAGTTTTGGTTCAGATTAGGGTTAACTATAGACCTGTAATGGTTAATTTTAGGGAAAATGTCTGGGTTAGGCATAAATACAGTTACAAAAATGAATGAAAGTCAATACAAAGCCTTCAGTTTGATACAAATAAAGGATGTGTGTGCGTTGGGTTGTTATGCACATAAATCACATATGGTAAGTTCTAATAGTACAGCAAAAACACTTGCTAATGGTGAAAAATGTAATAAAAACTGAAAGAGTTTTGTAATTTATTAGAAGAAATTCAGTAAGACAAAAACTATTCAAAAACTTGAGCTACCATATTTATGTGTGTATAATATGAGATATTTAACCCCAAAAATCATCCAGAAAGTTGGGATGTAGGAGTATTAAACATGGGAGTAAGTTTTTACAGCCTAATAGCGAAGCTTATAAACAGTAGTTGTTACTCACCGGAGTCAAAGGAGTAACAACTTTTCCTTGTTTGTTTTTCCTTGTTAATTGCGGCGATTAAAAGACGTTGGTCACACACTTGTGTTCTGATAAATCCATCAACCAGCTTCTGCTCTGGTCTAGGAGCAGATTGTTTTTTTCAGAGACACAAGAAACTGGAAGCTCGTGCTGCTCGTCCTCGAGTGTGTGTCCCCAAATCATGTTTCCTCACCAGAGGACACGCCGCAAAGGCTGAAAAACCCTGAAGTCTGTCTGAAATTAGTGGTAGCTATATACATGACAATTAGATTGTTTTTATGCTTTTTAAGCTCAAAAATAACGCTTGTATTACTCCTAATTTACACTACATACGGCTCCGCTCCGCTGCTGTCCAACCGCAGCAAATATGCAACCATTGTAATCAATGAGAGTATTTATAYTGGCTCCACATGGCAGCGCAGTGATCCGCCAAAATTAGATTAAATCCTAGTTTTGTCAGATGCCGGAGCTGCACCGGAGTCAATCTACAAAAGATCTTGTTGCACCAACAGGAAAAGGAGCAAGCACAACATCCGTATTTTCAAAATAATTCACAAAAGCAGAGTCATTTAGTTGAAATCCCAACTACTGTATATTAATACATATCTGATATATTTGTACACAAATGCTGTCAAAATGTATCTTTCTGTTTTGGAAAGCAAATGGCAACATGTAGCATGAAGCATATGTTTACACACATAATGCATGTGTATTTTATTTTGAAATCAGAAGTTTCAAGAAATAGACAGCGATGCAGTTTCCACTGTATGGAATCCATTTTCCACAGAATGAATTATTTTGCTCTGACTTCCACATTTATCACTGGATTTATTGCGTGATCTCGCATTTCCTGCACACGCTTCTCAGACATCCTCTGTGCTTCACACCTGAGCGGACGCTGTTTAAATTTGGGTGCAAACGAATGGTGCATGTAGTGTAAATTAGAGGTTATACTCAAGATCGTTTCATGCATGAGTAAATATGGTAATTATTAACTATAGACATGACTCACTTAGGTCTGCATGTATTTGATGTTTTTTTATAGGATGTACACCAAAAAAATGTACTTTTATTTTAGTGAGGGAAAGGAGCAAGACCCTTGCAGACCCTTGTTTAAATGGAACGTTAGCGTGGTCTCCTGCAGATTGATTCGGCTGTTTTAAAACATTTAAAAAAGGTGCTGCTTTTGCCACAAATGTAAAACTGCCACCCAGACTAAGCTATTGTCTCATCGATCTGAGATTTTCTGTTTCTAGTTTTGTCCTGTTTTGAACTACATTTCAGTGGACCTGAAATAACCACCGATTTCAGCATGAGATAAATATATTGTTGACTTGTGACGAAAAGCAGCCAGAGGGATCGGCTGAAGTGACTGTAGGTGCCTCTTATTTCTGTAAAAATGGGTTTTTGATGGATGTGATGTTTTTGTCGTGTTTACCTCAGTATTAGTAGCTGTCCTGTAGTTAATGCTGTTGTGWTTTTAAGGTGCAGTTCTGTGAACGTAGCCAGAAAAAGTGAACCTTTGCTGTCAGTGATTCTTCTGTTGCAGCTTTGAAGTTTCACACTGTCGGTTTAGTCATCAGAAAACCCCGAGTCACCAAATAAGGCTCTTTTTTGTTTCTTCGACAGCAGCTCCTASAAGAACTATTCCTGAGAAGCTGTTTTTGATTCGACTTGTTTAAATGCTGCACGCCGCCTCGACCAGACGTCTCTGTTGGTTTTTATGTAACGTGGCAAATTACAGCACTATTACAGACAAACTGCTTTGGCTTCTTTCTGCTTGTGGAGACATGAATTCAGAGTTTGASCTGTGTATTACTAAATACTGGTTTGTCACTGAATGAGACTCCTCACATTTTGGCAATTTGATTTTATTTTTTTAGCTTCAAAAAAACCTTTTTGGTGTCAATCAAAGTCTAACAAAGTGTGTTTGTTGTTTTTCAGAAGGATGCTATGCTAATTCTTGTGAGCTTTTAAATGAATTCTCAGTATTAAATGCAGTAGATTTTAAATGTTGTGATGAATAAGAAAGTTACTGGAAAACATGAATGTTTCTCTGGTGTTTTTTATGTCTCCAAGTTTTGTTTGAATTTCTTTTCAGAGTTTGACAGCAAATAAGTCCACATGGTTCTAACAAAAACACTGATTGTTTTTAGGTTTCTATGAGACAAACCAGACCTGTTGAATAGCTAATATGAGTAGAGACAAGTTTCATCTTTCAACATGATAAATATGTATTATTATTTATGGGAGGTAAATATAATTTATTATTTAAAGCCATAGTTTTTCAACTAGCTAAATGATTTTAGTTATTTACTTCAGGGTTGGTTTAGATCCTTACTTGTATATTTTTCTTGTATATGTCTGTTTTACATGATTATTGAATGAAATGAACAATTAATTTACTGTAAAACATTTTACACAAAAACTTAAGCAGATCCGATTAGGTTTGCTGTTAATCAAACTGTTGTTATGATGACTGAGCTGTCGCCCTGGTTGGTTGACATTTTTGCTCTTTCATGTTGTCACAGATGCTAACTGGATGGGATGGGCGGGGCTCAGTCTAACAGTATTATATAAACTTTTTGACATTAAAATGGACATATGGTGCTTTTAAATCCTCCCTTTTCACATTTAAATTGTCTGGAGTCTTTAGAAAGTGGAACTGCAATGCTTTGGTTTGAATTCCTCCTTATTGAAACTTTACCAGCCCCTCTTTCACCCCTTTTCTGRTGTGTGTCTCAAAGCACCTGGCTTTGTTACTGTTCCTTTAAGATGCCTCAAGGACCGCCCCMTCTTGCTTCCAGACCGGTCCACTCCGATTTRAAAATATGAATCAAACAGGATATAAAGATCTCTTTGCAGCACCAGGAGAGACAAAATTAAACTTTTCTGCACTCCTAGAGAGTCAAAGTACAACAAAATGTTGAAAAATTGGACTTTGTGGATGTCGCCTTTGATGAACTTCCAAATACGGAGAAACAGCTAAAATTCATCCTTTTTATTTATTTTTTTATGCCATTTACAATTCCCTTTCAGTTATGAATCTTTTCAGCTCATGATCAAAATTTAAAGGTGACAGGATCAGTATACATTGAGACCAAACAAATGGAAAGCCATCTCTATTATTGTCTTGGTTTTTAGGACACAAGGTGGTGGTACAAATGCACAAAAAAAAAAAACAAAAAAAAAACACAGGTTGTTACTTTTTCTGAGAATCTCCCTATGGATCCACTAAAAGCAGGAAACCAAATCTGTTATTGTATGGATAGGGAATATAAACACTGCAGCAAACTCCCCCTTTAAAACATCTCAGTTTGAGTTTGAGACTTAAGTGAAGTATTTGTGTTGAAGCATTTAGAAATTACAGTATTTGGAAAATATTTGTCCAGTTTTGACATTTGCTGGAGACCTGTCCAAGTATGATGGACATGCTGGATAGTATTATGTCTAAAATATTTGTTTTTGATGCTATTGTAATTTGAATGGGTAACAGTTGGGAATCTACTGTATATTTGTTTCCCAATATCAATATTTTCCTTTAACATCTCCTCCTCTTCATTTTCTGGAACACTTGAAAAATCTTGCAAAAATTTTCAAGAGAGAAATAGTCTTAGGATTGTATTGTATTTTCACTTCAATAACTAAATATTAGTTACAGTTACAAAAGTTATGACTGCTGAAATTAAAAATTCTGATAAATAGTTTCACAGACTAGGCTTGTGAATTTACTGTAAARGGCTCAAGAGCAGTACTTCATTTAATCTGAATACACTTTCAAGGAATTTTAAGCCCGATAAACTGTGCAGGGTGATTTGGTTTTCCTTCTGCTCCGGCGAGCTTTATCTTCTGTTTAAAATAAGTTAAGGTTCTGAAAATATTTAGAATCTCTAAGGTGTTTAAGGCAAATGCTACTGACAACAAAATAAATAAAAATGAATAAAACAAAATAAAAACTTAATTACAAGTCAAATTTATGTCAGCATATAAAACGCAGGTACATCCCAACACAATTAGCTAAACACTTTCTTAAATGAACTAACAGCAGATGAGTGTTTCCTGTGAAACAGGAAAAAGCTTTGACTTCCTACTTCTGAGCTCCAATCAATGCAGTGTGATTTAAAGGTGAACCTTGTTGGAAATAAAGATCAGGAGGCTTGATAAAACCACTCTGAGCTGGGAATGAACGTTCACCTTCATATCTGAAAAAGTTCACTGAACGATATCGTTTCAAAGCTGCAGTCAAAGTGGTGGTGTTTTTCACTTATTTTCTTGTTTGTGACTTTTTAATAAACGCTCCTAAAGACACTAAAATGTTAGCATTTTTATTTTTAGATGCTAGGTCCTTCCTATTGCTTGTGTGTGTGTGTGTGTGTGTGTGTGTGTGTGTGTGTGTGTGTGTGTGTGTGTGTGTGTGTGTGTGTGTGT